AACCATCTGTAGTGAGGTCTGGTACCCTCTTCTGGCCTTCAGGCATACACACAGACAGAACATTGTATATATAATAAATAAATATTTAAAAAAAAAAAACAGCCAGAGCTACATAAGGAGACCCTGTCTCTAAGGAAAAACGTTATGAAAATGAGCTGACAAAATGAGACTGCTTTAGGTTACCTGCATATAGGACACAAGGTCTCAGTATCTCAGCCACATAGAGATCCAAACCCTCAGCACACAACACAGGAGGTCCCCATTCAGACAAACCTCAAAATGGGCATTTGCCTCGGCCCAGAGCTTTGGATGAGTTTGGGAACTGGATGTGGCCAGACAGGGTAATGACCTCAGATGCAGAGGCCACTTACTTTGCAATGTTCACATCTCTAACAGGCTTTCACAGACCCGGCTCCGCATGGCCCATTCCTCCAGCAGAAAACACCTCCCTCTTTGTACTCCATCTTCCGCTTGGGCACTGGCCAGGTGGCAGGGAGGAGTCACTTAGCACTAAGGGGTCTGCTTCAGAGGCTGGTTTTTCACCTTTCAAGAACTAACCCCTAAAAAAAAAAAAGAACTAACCCCTAAAAAAGTCAGGGTCCTTCAAGGGTTTGTTACTACGTAGTCCTTCCTCCTCTCCTCCTAAGGTGGTTAATTCCACCTAAAGAAACCAAAGGGCACAAAGCCACCTGCCACAGTATCATTCTCCTCCCTTCTACACCCCACCCCACTGGTGGAGTGAAGGCGGCTCTTTCCCGCTTCACATTACACAGCTGTGAGATCTGGAGCAGAGTGCGGTAGGGCAAGCCTTTGTCTCTGCCTTTATTACAATCACAATGGAGGCTAAGTACCCGAAGTAGTTACCACCCTGTGATGTAATAGAGACCTGAGTTCTAGCCCAAGGTGTCCTGGCAAAGCTAACTCAACCTGGGCACTTCCTGAGGTTAAAACTACAGGAAGGTTGACAAGCACTAAACCCTGTCTATGGCTGAGGACAGATCCACACAACAGAAGCACTAGCAGCAATCTAAGCTTGGGACCGATTTTAGATTTACACACGTTTACTAACCTGACACCTATAACCCGGGCACAATGTTCACTGGAAAATTAGGTACGTACTCTAGAAATGCAGGATTTCAGCCTGCTGACCCACTTCTGTTCAGAGCCACAGGGTTAACTGCAGTTTGAGTAGTCACTAAGCTACTAAACATCCTTTCCTCTTTATTTTAAAAATGGTAGAGAAGCAATTATATCGAATAACAGTGAGTTCCAGGCCAACCTAGATTAAAGTATGAAACCCTATCTCAAAAAAGCTAAAAGCAAACCTGCTTGAGCTGGGGGCACAATATGGGAGGGCTCATCTGTGAAGTCTAAGCTTTTGGAAGAACCCTACTTCTCTAAAAGCTCCTTTTCCAAAAGGTTACCATCCTGGTTCAAATCATGACCACTCAGCTGGGGGGTAAGGGCAACTACAGTCCCAGGAAGCATCTGAGCACCTTCACTCATACAGCCTGCTTCCTGGACAGTGTATTCTGTTCAAATCTGCACTGTCCTTGTGTTTGACACTAGGTTTGGAATAAAGTATTCTTGCTATTTAAGGGGGGGAAATAGCTACAATTTTCACATGTGAACTCCTCCTCGGCTCCCTGAGAGGCAGACTACATACAGCTCAAGGCAAAGATGCTCGAGATGGCACCCTGAGACATGCCCAGTAAAGGACAAGAGGCACAGAGTGGTGGCCAGAGACAGAAATGGGGCCATATCTGGCTCAGAGGTAGAGAGGCAAGAGAAGAGTAAAGCTGGAAGTGCTTCCTTCTCCTGAGAAGTTTCCAGAGCAGATTCTGACAGTAACAACTATGCCAACTGACGCAGCTTCGGACAGCCTGAGTTACAGCCTCTGAAGACTCAGGAGCAAGCCTCCTCACAACTCCTGCACACCACCATCCCCATGGCTCAGCAGTGACATCCTCTCAGGACTTTAGTTCAATCCAAAACTATCCTAGGAGGAAATACAAATTTAAAAATTAAGATTTAAAAAAGGTAAAACAAATTATTTTTCTCTACCATAATTTTAAAGATTATTTTTAAAACTTTACCAAATATAAAAATCCTAGAGACAGAGTCTGCTGGCTGGTTCACTGCTGTCTCTCTGGAACCTGGCACTGGGCCAAGTGACACTTATGTCTTCAGGAAGCAAGGGCCAAAGCAGCAGCCACTTCTCGGGCTATGGCCCCTGCCCACCAGATCTGATGCTAAAATGAACCCAAATGTTCACAAGGTTTCCTCATGGCGAGTCAAAAGGCCACCACCCCATGACCATGACTGCAATCAAGACTACAAGAGAACTTAAGAACAGATCCCTTGGAGCTGGAGGTGGTAGAAAGCCATCTGGGATGGGTACTGGGAATTGAACAAGGGTCCCATGGAAGAGCAACAAGTGCTGTCAACAAATCAATCATCTTTCCATCCCATCAAGATTTTTTGTTTTTGGGTGTTTTTGTCTGAAACTGGGTGTCTCTCTCTACATAGCCTCTGCTAGCATGGAATTTGCTGTGTAGACTAGACTTAGCCTCGAACTCAAACTGCCTCTGCCTCCCAAACACTGAGATTAAAGGTGTGTGCCAGACTTTCCCCCACACACACTTATAAAACTGACCAGCACAAACAGCTGTGCTGAGTTGGGACCAGCGTGTGCACTGGCCTGCTGCACCATATGCAGGTCTGGGGTTCCATCCCCAGTACTGGAAAACAAGAATGCACCACTTGAGTTTGTCCCCTTCAGTGGCAGCGGGTGCTCACTCTTCTCCACTGACAAGCCACAAATTTCTTGCTGAACTATAAAGGACAGAATACTTAAAGTGTTAAGATCAATTTGCTGAACTATAATCATTAAAGAACTGCAATAGACTTAAGTGTCTGAGTCTATCAAAACAACTGTTCTACTGTAATTGCAACCTAAAAAATGGTCATCCCTCTACCTGAAGAGGGCAAGCAAACTCAACTTTCCCAGAAGACTCCAGCCTTCCTCCTGAAGTGCAGAAGGCAACTCAAATCCTAGTACTTTAAGGACCGTTTCTTGACAGAAGGGACATATCTGCAATGTTAGGTTTGTTTGGTTGTCAGGAAAGCAAGGATTCTAACCATACCAAGCTTGTTAAAAAAAAAAGTACATAGCCAAAAAAAAAAAGAGAGAGAGAGAGAGAAACATAAATCTTCACTCCCGTAAAGGCAGCACTGACCTTTCAGTCCCACCCCCCCAGGCACCTCACTCAACATGCCCTCCAATCTTGAGAGCATCCTGGTCGCTCAAGTGTGTCTGCTATTCTGTGAATCACTAGACACTGATGTGACTAAACCAACCAAGAACCCCCCCCCCCCAGTACCTGACTGTAATTACCAACTACACAAGATAGACAAACTGCTCAAACAGCAAATCAGGGCAGCTGCCACTCCTGACAACCACTATACTTGGATGTGGAACACCACTGCACACAGACATGCTCAGTCACCCAGAGCCTCGGGTAACACATCTCTGTGCTTCCCAAGAGCACGCTATCCTCCATTCTTGGTAAGGGCCATCCCACTGAGGATCAGGAAGGCATTTGCTCCTCTCCCAGGCAGCAATCCGCCACGTCCTCCAACGTGTCGTGCAGGCTAGGTGTCCTAACAGACGCTCTAAAACACTCAACACACAGCACTACCCTCTGGCCAATTTATTTCTATCTTTAAAACTATAAAATTCAGGCGGGAAATATGGCTCAGTAGTTAAAGAACTGGTTACTCTTCCAGAGAACGTAGGTTCAATTCCCAGCTCCCACAAGGCAGGTTACAGCTCTAACTCCAGTTCTAGGGGTACAACAGCCTCTTCTGGCCTCCAAAGGCACACATAGTACTCAGAAGTACAGGCAGGCCAAACATCCATTAATATAAAGTTTGTGGGGAGAGAGATTTGCTAAGATTTACTTATCGAGCCAGGTGGTGGTGGCTCGATCCCAGTACTAGTTGAGTTCAAGGCCAGCCTGGTCTACAAAGTTAGTTCCAGGATCTAGGGCTTAAATATTTATTGTGTGTTCTGCCAAGTGTATGTGTGTGAAACATCTACATGCAGGGCCTGAAGTTTAGAAAAGGCATCAGATCCCTGAAACTCAAGTTATGGATGGCTGTGAGCCACCATGTGAATGCTAGGAACCGAATCTTAGTCCTCTGCAAGAGCAACAAGGGCTCTAACCAGTTACTGAGCCATCTCCAGTCTACTACACTGTTTTCTTACAAGGACTAACTTCTATATCAGTCTACAGTATCAAATAAAACCTATCACTTTCTAAAACGATTATTTGTATATGGGGGTGTGTGCGTGTCTTAAGGACACCACATATGTGGAGAGCAAAGAGCAGACAATATTTGGAAGCCAGTTCTCTCTTTCCAACATGTATGTCTCAAGAATCAAAATGCATGGTATTAGACTTGGTGGCAAGGGACCTTACCACCACCTAAGACTGTTTACTTTTGACCTTTCAGTGGTCAGGCCAACTTACCTAGCAGGTGAGGGAAAAACACTTAAAAGTTCAGAGAAACAGAAAGATTTAAATGTAAATGCTCAGTTTAAATTCAGCATCAGCATCAGCATCATAATATAATCCATCACAGGCAAAACACTGCTGAAAGGCAAGGTGATAAATCCTGGACAAAATCCCATTTCCTGAAAGTCCCTGAGAACACTCCACTCCCAGCAGCAGGAGTAAGATCGAAGCCCTTTCAAGAGATACAGCCTGATTCGCCCCCAAAACAGTTCAGGTGTGCTGAGAAAGCCAGTTTTACTTTCAATATTATCAGTGCTGAGATCTGTAAACTGTTTTTTAAACACTCCATATCAATGTGCAAAGCAGCTTATGGGAGAAGTAACTTTTTTGCTAATTGTCAATTAGGCAGGAAGAGACAGAGGTGTCCTCTGTTTCTCTCAGTAACCTTGCCTATCAGGGCAACCTTCCATCTGCTTTGAGATCTGACTGGGCCAACCCAACAGAGAGAAGGGTTTCAGCAAACAGCAGCAAACTCTTGTAAGCTGTGCACTGACTCATGTCTGCACAGCGCATCACACAACAACTAGTGTAACCATTATATAGCACCAGGAATTAAACACTATGCCATTTTTTTTCAGAAGGTTAAATGGGCAAAGTCTAAATTAGATCCAATTTAACTAACCAGGTAAAAATAAAACACAAGCTTAGGCAATACCCTTAAAATCCAGCTTTCCTCGACCTCACAGAACGACCACTTCCTACATAAAGTTGAATAAACACTAAAGCTGTGTTCAGCGCTTTCATAGATACCTGTTAACATCTCAAATCAATAAAAACAAAAACTCCTTTCAATGCGTAAGACCAATCACTGTTGGCTAGTTTTACACAGCAGCTACTAGGAAATAAAAACCGCCACCAAACTGAATTAGGTCCTTTTAAATATTCACTTATGCAGAGTGTCAAACAAACATCAAGTTACTAAACATTTAAATTATCCTCCTCTAAGAGACAATACAAAGTGAAGTAAAAAGCCACCGGGCCATTCAGTATTCAGTATCTTAAACTTGAAAGACAATCGTCGCCCATTAAAGAGCTAGCTTGGTTTGGGAATAGTGTAGGGAAAAAATCTAAAAGCCAAGGGTCAACTCTTCCCCTTGCTCACCTCTGCTGAGCTGTCTTTTCAGGGTTAGTAATTGTATTTCTCAAGTTTATCATAAAATTACCAAACTGGCCCCAAATTTCCAGTAACTCAATAATGCTGCTAGCCTGGGCAGGAAGCAATGGCTCTTCAGAATGCTGCAGTCAACACAGGCTCACATGTCAAGTTTTCTAGGAAGCGCGACATAAAGGGTGGTCTATGGTGGCTCTGGCTAACAGGGGCTTGCCCCACCACCACCGTTTATCTGGAAGGTAGATAGGTCCAACAACTGAACTCACTCATGGGAAGATGAAGATTTTTTAAGGAGAACGAGAGATGGACAGTCGACATGTGTCCCCACTCCCTCCCCTCTCGCCCCCACACACACTTCCTTAAAGGCAAGATTTCTATCTGCCCTCGTGGTCTGAATTTAAAACCCTTTGGCCCACATACCCTTGTAAATTTGTCTGGCTATATTACTGGCTAGCCAAGAGCCTTAATCCAGATCACCTAACCGAAAGACTTCTTAGCACTTTCTACAGTGTCCCCACAACGAGGCTGCAAGTGATATTCCACCAGACTCCCCCACAGCAGAGTGAGGACATTCCAAGTCTTTGTGCAATAACACACTTTCTCTCACATGCATTTAAACTATTAACACCGCTCCCCTGAAAACCTGGAGCTGAGGGCCTCCATTGTCACAGCTTTTATTTACATGCCTGTAGCTAAGCCCTTCCTGGTTCAGAATATTTAATAGAACTGAAATCCTTTAATTCAATTTTGGTAGCTGTTGTATACACGTCTTCCAAATTTTTATTTTTTAATCACCCTAGTGAATGAAAACTAGTCCGTACTCTAGGTTGTGACTTAAAATGGCACATTTTGATGCTAGAAGAGTTTACCTAAGCTGCTTCATGTGTTCCTTCTAATTCAATAGCTGGAAAACCCACTTCTTGATAACTCAGCTTCAACTTCCCAAATTATTAATTACACATACTGCCACGGGATTAAACTGAAATGGGAAATCAGGAACCAGTCATTTAAAAGAAATCATAGCCAGTGACCTCAAAAGTCCACAATGGAGGCCACACAGCATGAGATAGGACAGTTTCAAATTGTTTTCTGATTGGAAACACAGCTTCCTATACAGTATTTTTAAGTCATTTGTTTCCACAGCAGTCAGAACAGATCTTTTATGAAGTACTGTTTTTAAGGCAGTCAAGGGTCATTAAAACTACTTCAAAGTTCTCATTAACAATATCATGTTTAGAACAACTGGGGGGGAAAAGAATGTCATTTAATAAAGTGGGCAAAGAGCTCATCTTCTGGAACCCCCGAGGCTCTAATCAGGCAGCTCAGAATTAAGAGGACTCCTAGACTGAGGGTGGCAGCCCTGCTGTGGCGATGGTAAGGGAGAAAAGGTCATTAGCACTTATC